AATGCATATCAAATGCTAGGAGTCTCAATCCTAATGACAAAAACAATTCATGTTTTTATTGCCTGGAACGGTTAAAATGGCTGCTTATATAGTTATCCTGTCAAGCCAGCAATCCTGATTCCTTGACATGCCACTTTATCCAGAATCTCAATCTGTGCATCATTTTTGCAGATTCCTTTCCCCCACAACCATCTTTCTGTCTTCCATTCTGCTTTATGAGCCCTGGTGGAGGCCTTGTTACAGCTTGGTAACCAATTTATTTCACCCTCTCCTCACGTGGTAGAGCTTCCCTGCATCTCATAATCACTATTAGAAGACACAGGATTTCATTGTCCTAAGATAATCAAGCCTCGGGCTTTTGATTCTTTGAAAGTCACAAAACATGGGGGATCTTTTCAGCTGGCAGGTGGTAGGACGAGTTTGAGCTCCAGGGTTGAGCAGTTCTAGATTCTAATCCTGGTACCACCTGTGTGCCACAACTGCTTCATCTGAAATGAGGATGGTAATGCCTAACAGGCAGGGCTGGTTAAAAATTAAATCATAGCAACAAACCATTTATTTTGCATTATGATGAGCACTTACATGCATTTTCCTAGTTAAACCTCCTAGTAATTTATCATAGCAGTCTACGAAGTAAGTGCAATTATTATAATCACATTACAGATTGGGAAACTGAGGCTTGGTGATTTAAATAACTTTCTCAAGGTCACACAGCAAGTGGTCTGACTTCAGTATTTTAACTACCACAGTGTACTTCACTTCATCCCTACGTGTAATCAATACATTTATTGCAAGCCTGCCACCGTGCCTACCATTTGCTTCCTTTCCCCCAATGGATCCGCTGCCACAAGCAGTACAACGATAAAATTTTAGCCTGTGAAAATATGTGGGAAAATGTAAAGAAAAATGACACAGAGAATGCAAATTACCCATATACTTGGAAGTGATTTGCAACAGTGTTTTGCTAGACAGAGAGGCACCATTGAAGGGTCTGTAAGAAACCAGATTGATTGTTTTGCTCAGCACTCTGCTGCTGCTTGAGCTGCTGGTGGTTCTGTGCCCAGCAGTGAACCTGATATACTTTGTAGGGTGTAATAGCCATACTGTCTGAAACAGTCTTTTGGGGTTGCCCAGGGTAACACGCCTTTCCAATGTCCCCTAGAAAGAACCTACCTGCTCTGAGTCTCCAGCTATGCACTTCACCCGCCTAGTTGTCACTCCCCTCCTCCAGTTCATGTCTCAGTCCTCTCTCCTGCAAGGTATGGGGGTGGTTTGTCCATCAGTAAGGGTGAGCAGTTGGAAATTCATTACAAAGCGCAAGATGAAAGAGGCTTGGGTTAAGATCAGTATAATGTAGATGTAGAGGAATGACTTTAAGCACATGACAGAGATGCCCCAAAGGACAGGCAGGCGGTGCTCTAGGTGGCTTTGTGCTTGTCACTAGGGAGTGGAAATGGTGACATATGCTACAAAAATAGGACTGGGCTGGCTTCACCTCTTATATAACTCTTATTTCACACTTGCCTTTCTTGAAGGCGGTGATGGTGGTCTAGAAGTTATTTTTGAATCTTTAAATCTCAGCTCAGTCACTTACAGAAGTGAAGTGGTTTTTATGAAGTCACCAGCTTATAAATGGCAAAACTAACTAGAAGCTCTGGTTGGCAGTTAAATATTTGTATTTTAATGGAAAAGATAATTAGTGCAGTTTGGAAAGCAAGTTTTCTGGATAGGACCTATGGAAAGTGGAGGTGGAATTATAAAAGGCATCCTTATAGGAGACCACTACCTAAAAAAATCTTTCCTCTTGTCTGCCTTGTTAACAGATAACATCTGGTAGAGGGCCTGTGATAGTCTTCCACCCTGGTTGTTTCAGGAAATCTTTTGTTCTAATTTCTTCAAAAGAAACAATACAGTATTGGCTCGTACAGTGGCTCATGCCTGTAATCCCCAGCACTTGGGGAGGCCGTGGTGGGAGGATCACTTGAGCCCTGAAGTTTGAGACCAGCCTGGGCAACATAGCAAGACCCTGTCTCCACCCAAGAAATGAAACTATACAGTATTTATTAGATACCACTTTTGTTTTTTTTTTGTTTTGTTTTGGTTTTTTTTTTTTTTGAGACGGAGTTTCGCTCTTGTTACCCAGGCTGGAGTGCAATGGCGCGATCTCGGCTCACTGCAACCTCCGCCTCCTGGGTT